TGATCATTTTGCAGGTTTCGAATTCGTTAATGAATGACAAGCCGTCAAAGTTTGCAATTTTTGCCCATTTTGGCGAAAATGGGGTCCACTTGGGAATTTTTTTCTCAGAAACTACTGAACCGATTTAGTTAAACTTTTTTTTGTTTTATTCGTGAAGGTTTGGGCTATTTTAAAGTATTTTTTTAACTTTGTCAATTTGTTATAAAATGTTGAAAAATTTAAACAAATTCTTTTTTTGCGTTTTTCTCAATGAGGGGCGTAAAGGGTTAAAATTTATAAAACATATGGTTATATTCTTCGAAGCTTCTCATTTAAAATGAGCTCTTCAGAACGATGGAGCCTCAAAAATTGACGCTTCTACAAGCTGGAAAAGGACGCGGGGTACCTCCGTTTCAGGTAGCTGAGTTGTGTGGTTCGCTATTATGATCGGTTTTTTTATACCACCGGTCTCAAAACAATACGACAAGACTTCGTGTACGACTAAATGACCCTGTTCATACCTAGCAAAGTATATTAATACTTACTTTTGAAGAATCACACATTTTTTAATCATAACATCATTCATAGATATTAGTTCCTATAATTATTGTTTATATTTTAAAAAAGGCATCATTACTTGATAGAATTCGCGAAAAAGTGGTGATTTCTTTCTATCGCAATGGGATTATGGTGGGTTGTGATCAAAAGTATAGAAAGCATTGTGTGTGGTTGGAAAAAATATAATGACAGTTCATACACTAACAAGGGACATCACCAAGGTGTTACACGCGGATTTTAATGAAATGTACATATGTGGTAGCTTTTCAAAAATCATTTGACACGTATTTTTTTATATCTGCGGACATGCATGTTGAGGGGGTGAAAATAGCCCTCAAAGTTCGGGGTTGAAAACACATTTTCTTTAATATCTCGGAAACTAGAGAGTGTAGGAAGGTGAATTGTTTTTTAAATTGTGTAGTTTTTAATCAGGTATTTAGTTAGTGACAAAAATTTCGGGAGAAATTATTTATTTAAATAATATATTAAAAAATTTGACTTTTTTTTCAATTTTTCACCCTAAATGCAGTTCGATTTTTTTGCAGATTTGTATACAAAAAATATGGATCAAAATAGAGGATACGTGTTTTTCGAATTTTCTGTTTATTGCAATTTAGCAATAATTATTATATATACAATTTTTTTCTACTTTTTACGGAGAAGTGAGTTGAGATCTGTTTTCGAAGAGGGTCAGCCCTTTTTATGCGATAATCTGTTACGTTTTTAACAATTAGACAATATCAGATGTTTATTGTGCCATCGGTAGCCAGGGAAGGTCCAGCGGACAGGTATAAATCCGCCGCGGTACCAGTCGTCGCTTTACGGAACATAGGCTTCTATGGCCAATTAAACTTTTAGCCGGAGGTATAAGTTCATTTATTTGACTTTTAATAATTTGAACGGAAATGTTCGTCGTTTAAATGATTTGGTATCTCTGAAAAGAGCAGTGCGCAGTGCGCTGCTGTTGTTTCTTCGTTTTTTATATGTTGCTAAAGTGGAAGTGGGAAATTTCAGAAATTTGCATTGATCGTCGTATTTTCCGCAAAAGAGTAAGTAAGTAAATTATTCCGAAATATACTGTTGCCGGAAAGTGTGTATAAATAAATATATGGTAATTGTATTATTGTTTCCTTTTTTGAACATTTGTAAAATCTATTTTTTACCAGTATGAATGTTAATGCCATTAATGTTATAAATATTTTAATGAAAATATTTAACTCTAATAAGCAGGAAGCGCACATAAATCGAAACAAAGTTAAACTGGCACAAAGTATAACAGATGCAATTCATATGTTTTATATACATATATAAAAATGCAATAAGAGATTATATTTAATGACTGGACGTATGTCTAAATCTTACCAATTTTTGCAAATTAAGAGGAAATAGAACAAGCTTCTACTTAAAAACCTGCCAATATATTTTTGTTCCGTGTGAACCAGAAACTACTGTTTTGCTTCTTGATTCATGAAAAAGATATAACGAGAACAAGTAATTTCTAATCCTTTAATTTTATTGAATTTAGATACAAATTTATTCACAAAAGACAATGTTATACAAATTGATAAAGCTAAAGTTGAATACTTGCTTCTGAAGATCATACTATATAGTGTGCATACTAATGAAATTCAATGAAGGAATTCATTATTAAAAGTCAAATAAATGAACTTATACCTCCAGCTAAAAGTTTAATTGGCCATAGAAGCCTATGTTCCGTAAAGCGACGACTGGTACCGCGGCGGATTTATACCTGTCCGCTGGACCTTCCCTGGCTACCGATGGCACAATAAACCTCTGATATTGTCTAATTGTTAAAAACGTAACAGATTATCGCATAAAAAGGGCTGACCCTCTTCGAAAACAGATCTCAACTCACTTCTCCGTAAAAAGTAGAAAAAAATTGTATATATAATAATTATTGCTAAATTGCAATAAACAGAAAATTCGAAAAACACGTATCCTCTATTTTGATCCATATTTTTTGTATACAAATCTGCAAAAAAATCGAACTGCATTTAGGGTGAAAAATTGAAAAAAAAGTCAAATTTTTTAATATATTATTTAAATAAATAATTTCTCCCGAAATTTTTGTCACTAACTAAATACCTGATTAAAAACTACACAATTTAAAAAACAATTCACCTTCCTACACTCTCTAGTTTCCGAGATATTAAAGAAAATGTGTTTTCAACCCCGAACTTTGAGGGCTATTTTCACCCCCTCAACATGCATGTCCGCAGATATAAAAAAATACGTGTCAAATGATTTTTGAAAAGCTACCACATATGTACATTTCATTAAAATCCGCCATAAACATCACCTTGGTGATGTCCCTTGTAAACGCAAGGTGTTATTTTAAAGTGTAACAAAAGTTCTACAGTAATTAGATAATAAAATCATTTTGCTATTAGGAAAAGTATAGAGCTGTATATAAGGAATTTTGATTAAATATATATTGTACATATTCTGGAAAAAAAGCTCTACATTTTTAAAGGTTTACTTTATAAAAGGACATTTTGTGCATTATATTTATTGTATGAAATATTTTTAATTTTAGTTACTTATCAAATTATTTATTAGGAATATGTATGAAACATGATACATAATTTAATTAGTTATAATTCAATATATTTTAATAAACGGTATTGCATATACTCATGTTTTCTGGAACTAAAAATATGCGCGCTAAACGTGCCACAGTATGTATTCTATACGTTACTTATTATCAGCAATTTTATAGGATCTGACATTTGTGAATTCCTTTCATTAGCAATGCGTGTGAAACAGGGACATTCCTAACGGGTATTTATTTAGAATGTGAACAGTAGTTATCAAACAAGCATTGTAATTTTGAAGTTTTTGCATTAATTATAAAATTAACTTTGACAGTGAAAGCTCAACAGTTCTTTAAAAAATTCGGTGGAAGTGAAACATTTAGAGCGAGTGATGGATGGCTCCAAAATTGGAAACGGAGAAACGGCATTCGTTTTTTAGCAACACCCGGCGAACAATTATCTGCGGCTGCCGAAGCAGCAAGCGAGTTCAAAGAGGAAATATTACATTTTATAGAGGCAGAACAACTAAGTTTGAATCAAATATTTAATGCGGACGAAGCAGAACTGTTTTACAAAGTTATGCCAAATAAAACGTTAATTTTTAAGTCTGAATACTCAGCTCCAGGATACGACCAACTAAAAGACAGATTAACGATAATGACGTGTTGTAACGCGAACGGTTCTTTAAAATTACCATTACTGATAATTGGAAAACATAAAAAACCACGAGTGTTGAGAAATTTAGCCCCACATTTATTACCCGCCAAGTATACAACTCAAACGAGTGCCTGGATGAGCTCTGCCATCTTCGAGAGATGGTTCAAAGAAGATTTCGTACCGGAAGTAGTAAATTTTTTACGGTCGCAGGGTTTACCAGAAAAAGCGATTTTATTAATAGATAATGCCAAATCACGGGCATCAATGAGTACGTTAACTGTTGGTGGAATCAGAGCTATATTTTTTCCAACGAATGTAACTTCTCTTATTCAGCCTCTTGACCAAGGTATTATTGAGGCAATGAATCGGAGATATAAGATTAATCTATTGAAATTTATAATAAATGCTCAAGCCGATGGATTGAGTTACAAAGAAGCGATGGATTCACTATCTATTAAAAATGCGATAGATTTAATCAGTGACGCTTGGGATCAGATTTCTGAAAACACGATTTCCAACTGTTGGATGAAATTATTAAATGTACCAGTCGATGAAGATGACGCTGATGATGTAACTTCTGAATGTATCCATGAAATGTACAAACGAATCAGAAATCAAGAACATATTACATTAGACGATATTAATGAATGGGTTCATGGTGATTGTTTACCAAGTTTAACAGATGAGGAAATAATTGACGTTGTACAGCACCTTTCCGATGATGAAACTGGTATGTTTAACTCGCCATTATCACTCATATTTTTGGGATGAAAAAATCGAGACTTGTACTAGTCATCTATTTATGAGAAACATTTTTACTTAGATAATAATAAAAAACTAAATAGCTGAATATCATAAGAATAATCCATTAACATCGGAATAATTAAGATGACGGTTATTGAATGAATAATAAATCCAATTTTTTTTTATAGAATTAGCTTCAGATAATACCTAGGATAACCTAACAGATTCTTATAGTGTAGACGCGAAAGAGCCACGTTTATACATTAGGGATTAACAGTGCAAATTTCAAATTCTATTTTTAAAAAGATTAATTAAAAATAATTTAATTAAATTAATTAATTTACTTTTAATTAAACCAAAAACTGATATAAATAGAAAGTGTGTAATTGTAGTTCGTTAAAATAGCTGATAGACACTTTATTATTTTGAATATATTATAAACATTGTTAATTTTGTTTCTAATAATACATTTTTTTTACATTATATATCTCTATTTGTTATGTAAAACTTATTTTTAATTTTCTAATCGAATTTACGTAGTAAGTATATGTATTTATTTTATAACAGATTCAAGCGATAATGAAGAATCCACGGAAAGTAATATTTCTCCGGCAACGGCAATAGACGGTTTAAATTGTGCCATACAATTTTTCGAACAATCAAGATTAATTACACAATCGGAAATGAATAACTTGAAAAGGATAAAACGGAGATTATTTAAAATTAAAAATCAAATTTATTTTGAGAAAATATTTATTGCAAACTTGTGACCTGCAAGCTTTGTTCTTCTGAACTTCTGTACATAAATAAAATAATTAAATGAATTTAACTAATCATTTTGTATTATAAAATTTTATTTTTATTATTAACTATGATTGTTAATTTATATGTACATTACTTATTTACGTTATTCTCACTGGTATGGAAGAGGTTTATTTATACAAATTATATGATATTACAAGACCCATAAAATATTCAGAACTTTCTTGACAATTAAGAAGTTTCAAAGATTTCGAAATTATCTTGTTCTTTTGTGAACTACATATTTTGGTTATAAGTCAATAAAACAATATTTCGGAAAATATATATTTCAAATTGTTTATGAAATGTATTTTCCGAGTCATTAATCTTAATAATTTATTAGAATGTTCTAAACAAATGATTTATGTAAAAAAATATTCACGTTTCATAGTGGTAAAATATTTTTATTTTTTGGAACAGTTATTTCTTACCAGCTATGATGTGCAGTGGAAATAAGTGTTCGTCGTACATTTCAAATGCATTCAAAAATAAAATATTTATTACCTTAAAACATAAAAGAAGACAAAGAGTTATTCTTTTTATTTTCTTAGATTTAAATACATATATTACAAATATTAGATTAGATTGAAATTGATATTATAACTATTAAATTTGAAATTTTCAAAGGAACATCGACGATGAAAATAATTTAGAAAACATTAAGTTGCAGAAAAGATTATTAATTGAAATAATATATATAATTTTTTGTTACATTTTTTATCTCAAATCTTTTAATGCATACTTTGTTAATAACAATTAAATTGTATTTTGAGAGTTTGTAAATATTCCTAAAAAGTTATTGAATAATTATTTTCGTAATTATTTTATTAATTTTAATTTTCACTTTCACATAATGTTATCATATCTTGAGGTATTACGGGTTGTACAAATTTTCTGAAGTGATCCAATGGGCACAGTTTGTCATCGCATCCAGGTATTTGTAACGTTCGAAGGTTGTCTTTATTTTTATAAAATATCTGCTCATAATAATTGTAATCAATTAGAATTAGTACAAGCATTAATTAAAAAAACTTAACGTAATTCAAATAAATAATACTTTCATGTCTCTATCAAAAACGTCAAAAGTATATGCACCTCAATTGCAACATTTAAACAGCTGTTTCTAATTTGTTTATTTATGTGGTTACATTACCTGAACATAATACTCATTATCCTCTTCATGTAATTCAAAAATAATACTGTTACAGTAATAAGGAATTTGATTATCAAAATTATCCAAAGCTGCAAGAAGGTAAGCAATATTTAACTCGTGGGCAGCATACATAAATGCTTTCCTTGTATCAGAATTGTTTATGTAGTTATCGACATTCTTTAGCAATTCTTTGATCCATATACCTATTCAGAAATATAATTAGGGGTTAAATTACATTTACATAGTGTAATTATTTTATATAGTAATATGCTAATTGCCAATATATCATACATATAATAACAAACGTTAAATCATAATAACATTTATTTTTTCAGTATACTGTTTCCACTTTTTGCCTTGCCTTTAACATTAACCTCATGGGGTATTAGCAACCGTGATGCTATTGACCAAATGTAACTAAATTAAATGAAATATATCATTATTTTAAAGAGACAGAATGATTTTTGACAAGTGAAAGGGCTACATCAGTTAAGAAACCACTAAAGTTATGACAGATGCTTTTATTACGTATTTATTAAATGAATTTTTGTTTACAATTTATGATTTAAGGTTGTAGAAAAGGATGTAAAATAACGGAAGATCAAAAAGGGATAATTTTTTGATATATATCAAAATACTTCCACTTACCACCTGTTAGTTGCTTTAATTTAGTAGTACGACTTCGAATAATAATATCAGATGCAGCAAGTTCGTCCAATTTACCATCAGGAAATACTGGCTTTGTCCATTCGGGTAATTCTAAGCCGATATCCCTCTGAAAATGATAAATATTTTTAAAACAATTGTAGTTATTTGTAATGATGGAAGAATATAATGATTAAGAATATGTCCTATTTAAATATGATAATAATTAACAAAGATGCTGTCGTTAAAAAAAGAAAAAAACATTAAACATCACTGTAAATAAATGTCAAGGTACTATGTTATTTCAACGTTATCAGTTTAAATATACATATTTTTGACTTGCTAATTATCTTTGTAGTTGAAATGTTATTAGTATCATTATTTACATAGTTGACAGATATTTATCATTTAACCACATATGTTCTTAAATATAAATAAGCACGTGTATTGTGTTTTTAATGAAACTTATGTTACAAATTATAATTTACAACAACGATTATTTTACAGTCTAGCAGCATGATTCTTTTGTTTTACGAAAAACTGCACGTTTATTCTCGTTATTACATTTCACTTTTTGCGGCGAAGTTTGATTTTGGAGATTTAGTTTGACAATTAAAAGATTTTGAGAACGCAGAAGTTTAAAAATATTGAAATTTAAAAATTTAGAAACATTTTGAGTTTGGGAATTTGAAAAATTTGAGGGATTTGTATATTTGAGAAATTGGACAACTGCACTTTTGAGATGTGTAAATTTAGAAAATTGAAACTTTTAAATTTACATACTTCATTTTCTAAAATTGAAGTGATACAAGGTGTCTCACAACTCCTGTAACTCCCTGAAAGGGGTGGTAGAGATTCTGAACAAGATTTCCCTTTGCAAAAATGAGGTTTGAAGCATCATTTTTGAATTATTAAGCAAAAACACGGACCAATCAGAACGCGAGAATTACGTGCGCCGAGAAGCGAGTGCGATAGCTTCGAGCCTTATAGTCGAGAGCGATTATGATCGAGTACCTATGCATCGGGACAGGATAAACGTTTAATAAGAGGCCCTTATGTTAAATCTCAGTTAAATAATGAACAGAACAGTTACAAATAATGTTTACTTATTCGTTTGTTATGAGTAAGGAACAAAATTAGTTATGTGTAATTAACAGAAGTCGAGCAAATGAAATTTCTGCAATTTTAAAGTGAGTAATTTTAAACTCACCAATTCTTTAAAAATAAACTTGTTTGATTGAAAATGGATCCTCGTAACTAGGTCGTTCACTCGATAGTAACTATTCGTAAAAGTAATACGCAACCTACAATAGCTGATATCGCAGCCGCTTCACTTCACTATAATTTTTTATTATCACTTTTCTTTGCAATATTTTGTTGTCACTTTTCACTAATTTTCTAACATAATAATGATATTGGAACGTTTATCTCTTACATTACATGACAGTAGGGTGATACTTGAAATTAAATTTTTTAAATATTACTTGGTCACGTTAATATTCTATTCCATATGCAGAGAAATGAGATTGGTTATAATTTGATTATATTTCGTAATATTTTAGAGAGTGCTACTCTTCCATTAATAATTTAATTGATGGTTCATTTAACAAGTTCTTAATAAATTTAAGACTCATAATATTAACAAATTTCATACAAAAATGAAGAAGGAGAATAGTATTTATTACTATTAATCAAGGGGTTTCAATAGAAATATCTTTTCATTAAAAAATCGATTTTATTAGCCTAATTATATTATTTGCAAAGTAGATTTCTATCAATGTATTTGATTCTTAAAAATTATTGATTTTCAAATTTACTTTCTAATAATAATGCTAAACAAAGATATTCTAAATTTTGTCTGGCAACGATCCCTAATATTTAATTGCAGAATATTAAAAAAGATACTATGTTACTTATTTATAAGGGTGAATATATTGACTGCGTACCATGACAAAAATTAAAGAAATATTTTTTTACCAAATAAACAAAAAATCACTTTAGTGTACATATTAGTTTTCGTTATAAGTTCAGGAATACATTATCCTTTATGGTGAAATAGTGAAATATGCATATTAGTTTTCTTGAGGCAAATGATTAAATACAGTAATAGCCGTAAGAAACGATGAAATATGCTTTTTTACGTGGCGATTTAAAATGTGCAATTCTTCGTAAGAAAAATGACCATGCTAGTTGTCACAACACACGTTAATATTATACAATGTTATTTATTACGTTATTATTATATTGCTTACCTGTGCAAACAATATTTGACGTAAATTAAATACTTTGTCTTGTGTGATGTTAGCACCCGTATGTTGAGATAAGTATTCATAAATATCTTTGTTCTCTTTTATATAACGTTTTACACCTTCATCCGTTTGTTCTACATTCGATACCATTTTCTTAAAACCTTTACAAAATATCCCACCATAAATATTGTACGCCGCTGGGATTGGCCATACGGGTACGGGCTGCCAGTTTAAATCAATATTCCACCTACACAATTTAATTATTTTTACGATTTACCATAATTTTGTGGTATTAGGTTTTATAAAATGTTCTAATAGGATATGCATATATTTTAAATCTTTGCACATTAAAAATATCAGATATCGCGATATTTCACGTACAGTAAATTTTTGTTGCATTAACACCATGTAAGGTAATCAGAAATATTAATGGTAAAGGGTGAGATTTACCAAATAAAATAGTGGGCGCGATTTAGAAAATACTGCAATGTTTTAATACTGACTTTTCACGGCAAATGCCAATACAAGAGTGTCTTCGCATACGCGGTCTCGGCTTGAGGACACCCCCATTAGCATGGCTGTTTAGGACCTAGACCCAGCGAAGTTCCCTGAGGAAGGGGAAATGCCATGGCAAAAGCTACACGGCTTGTGTCGATCTCTATTTTCTAACAACCATTTTTATGTTTTGCTATTTGTAATTGTTAATCGTATTCAAAAATGCTACATTGTATGTTGAGCCTTATATCCCCACGCATTATATTAGGGTGTCCCATAAGTTTCTTTCTTTTTTCTAATATGAAATGAATACACAATATTTCCTGTTTAGGATATTATTTATTCTATTATTCAAGAACCCTTTTTTTCTATTACCTTTTTCCAGGTCTCAAGAAGCCTCATTAGGCCCTCTTTCCAAATTTGTTGTGTTTTGAATGAGAAATAATTCTTAAGGTGCACTTTTATTTCGCTGATGGATTTAAAGCGCTTATCGCGAAAAGAATTTTTTAAGGACAAAAATAGGCAGTAGTCTGATAGTGCGATATCTGGAGAATATGCGGGATGCGGTAAAACATCCCAATCAAATTGTGAGACCTTTTCTCTTACCGGTAATGCAATATGTTGTCTCAGTCAGTAAGTGCGTAACCCAAACTTTGCAGCGATTAACATAACCCATCCTGGTTATGTGATTATGCACAATTGTTTTGGAAATCCTAGTGACATTCACTATTTCCCGTATACTAAATCGGAGATTTTTATCAAGCATGGTCTTGATAAGGTCGGTATCCGTCGTTTTTGGACGACCGCTGCGGTCCTCACCTTCGAGACTAAAATTTCCCTCTTTAAATCGCTTAAACCAATTGCGAACGGTTGTAACAGTTATAGCACCATCCCCGTATACAGTACAAATCTCGTTAACAGTATTTTTTACACTATCACCTTTTTTAAAACAACGCAGCATGATATGCCGTAAATGTCGCCTTTCGCTGCCCATGTTTAAAAGCGTGATTGAAGGTTTTAAAAGATACTGTAGCGCAATCGAAACATACTGAAAAAGATCTCTGGGATCACTGAAAACAATGACATAGACGTCTAATAGATAAGCCTGCATGTGTACACAAGCAGAGCCAGATGAAACCACTTATAGCGCGAAAAGAAAGAAACTTATGGGACACCCTAATATGTATTCTGCTTCATATTATCACGTTATACGTATTGCTACGCGTTGTGTGATGTGCATTATGTCACCATGCATTATAGAACTATATTTTACCTGATCAAATATTATATCTTTACTGTATCGTCGAAATCTGTCCAACATGGAGAAATTTCGTGTTTCAAGGAATATATGAATTCGATTGAGGAAGAGGGTAAATAAAAATTGTTTAAACACAATTGAGCCTGAAAAATCGTGATCGTTTATTGGCTCTAGCGATTCGAATTAGGGGAAAAAGCCTTGCGGCATAAAAAACCCCTTACAAAAATATGTGTTCGTTAATGATTCTACGGTGAAAATGTGTACGAGTATGTGTACGTTGTGTTGGTGGCGTATTGAATGTGAATCGTTTTGAGGAGAACAAGGTCTCGCTCAATGTCGTTCGATTTGAGGAGAACAGAGTCTCGCTCAGCGTTGTTCGTTTTGAGTGATAATTCACGTTGCGTGAGATTATTCACGATGATCGAGTTGAGAATGTAGGACTCACTCGGATCATGTTGATGTGTACGTTTAACCACCCTACCGTGGCCTGTTCGAGGGTGTAGGGCTCGCCCGAACAGTGTACAGTGTGTGTACGTTAACCACCCTACCGTGGCCCGTTCGAGGGTGTAGGACTCGCACGAACAGTATACAGTGTGTGACTTAACCACCCTACCGTGGCCCATTCGAGGAGTGCAGGGTCTCACTCGAATGGCGTCGTGAATGATTTCCGAACCACCCTGCATTGGCTATGCTACGTCGCGTTACGCGGAAACTTCTAAGTCACGATTGACTTCTTCGACTCTCGATCCGAACCGTGTAAGCTTCAACGTTCGACTGTGTTTTTGTTGTACGAAGAATTGCCTAAATACCCTCGTGTTTCCGAAGGTAACGGTTAGGAAAAATTCTATGCTTTCGTTCGTTAAATTGTTTAAAGAGAGAGGTACAGCTGTTAGCTGATTTATGACACGCACGTGTTTACAGTAAGACTAGTTCGGCTAGGATTTGAGAGACAAAAGGGTCCTCGGTGACCGGTATTTCGAGGTAAAAACTATTGACAGTAGCCTACGTGCCGACCGCTTGGGCCCTGCAATAAATTGCTTAGCCGCGGCATAGGTTTCGGTTCGCGGCCGAACATTTACTATATCATTATATTGTATATGCTATACATATATGGACAATTTTTAAAATTGAATATCTAGATATTTATGAAAATAAATCGTTAAACCAAAATTATACTCGTATTTAAATTAGTCGTATCTAAAATTTGTCTACAAAAAGTTTATCGTCATCTTATTGCACTTGTGGGTCATTCCAGGTCAAATCGATTACTTTTAGACGTCACCATCTGCGATTTTGTTCTAATCAAAATATGTTGTAGTCCATGTGAAATTGGAAGGGGGGGTTAAGTCATCATTTTACCGGTTCCGAATTTGTTAAGGAATAACAAGCCTTTAAACTTTAAAGTCTGCAATTTTTGTCCATTTTTGCAGAAATAGGCTTCACTTACGAATTTTTTGCTTAAAAACTACTCAACCGATTTCGCTAAATTTTTTTCTTGTCATATTCACAAAGCATTGGGCTATTTTAAAATATTAAAATATAAATATTAAAATATTAATATAAGCTATTGTTATAAGATATTGAAAAGTTTAAACAAATTTTTTTTGAGTTTTTTTTTTAATGAGGGGCGTAAAAGGTTTAAATTAAAAAAAAATGGTCATATTCTTTGAAACTACTCCTTTAAAATGAGCACTTCAAAACGATGGAGCTTTGAAATTTGACGTCACTATAAACTGGAAAACGATGCGGTGTATCTCCATTTCAAATAGGTGAGTCGTACGCTCTGCTATTGATACACGACTAAATGACACTTTTTGTACCTGGCAAGGCCTATTTTAGTCAAAATGGGCAAAAATTGCAAACTTTGAAGCCTTGTTCTTTCTTAACAAATTCGAAACCAGCAAAATGATGACTTAAACCCCCCTTAATTTCATGTGGTCTACAACATATTTTGGTTAGAACAACATCACAGGTAATGAGGTGCAAAAATGATTGATTTAGCGTGGAATGACAACTAAAGGTAATATGCAAAGAAACGTTGTTTAAAATAGTGACTTTGATTACATATTTCAAGATCATCGAAATCGGTGGGGAATAGTTAAAGTAAACAATAATCAAGAATACTTATAATTGTGCGGTTCACTGATAAAGAGTTATATGCGATATTTACATTGTTATCTTTGCAATATCTAATTTGACATGTTTAACGTTTTTCTGCACTGTCATTTTCAATATCAAAAATTTCCTGATCATTTTCGGGACACTCTTCATTAATATCATTTATTTTTTCTAATAATGAATTTACACTCTTCAAACTTGACATTTTGGGGATGAATATTCAACTGATACAGTAAAAATTAAAATGTATAAATGTAAATCCAAGTACATGAAAAAATGAATAAAAGATAAAATGTGAAACTTACGGCGAAGTACTGATGATTTTGTCTAGTTTTTTGGAAATGACACTTATAACACATAAAACAACACTTATAACAACATAAAATACAGGTAGAATAATAATAGAATAGAAATACAAAATAATAAAAAACTGCTGAATATACTTCTTGTGACTTTGACGTACTGATGTTCGTCAATTTCAAGAATGTTTTATACGTTGTTAGTTTACCATGGTTAAGCTGCATGGGCTTTCTAGAGATCGAACGTATTAACACTAAATGTATCAACACATAATTATGTATAATGAACATATAATTTAAAATTAAAAATAAAGTAGAAGCACAAATAAATAAATAAGAAAACCTTAATTAATGCTTTGTCTTAATGAAAGTTAATATTAATTTCATGAAATGTACCTTAACAAATTTTGTAATTTTGTGGTTTAATACTTTTAGTGTTAAAAGGAGTAGAATAAGTTATCAAAGCTTCTATTTCTATCCATACCTTTGTAATCCCACAGCAGGATATAATCCAGCTGCCACAAGTTCTCCAGTCATTATAACTCGGTCTACTTCACTAGAGTAAAACTGAATGATCTTCTTCGAGTAAAATGGCCCCAAAAAATCGTCGTATCTGTCTCGAAAATATTGGCCAAGTTTGTACGCTAACCTTTTTCCATCCTATATTCAACAAAAATTATTTGACAATACAAAGCATTATAATGGAATGTAAAAGAAATAAAAATTGGATTCACTTTAGTATTTGGTATTTATAGAGTGTATCAAACAATAAGATTCTGTCAAAAGGGACATAGTTTTACATAATCAGGTCTTTTATAGATGGACGCATGGAGGACATACTTTCTATTAGAATTATGTTATGTTAATTTTAAATGCATTAATTGATTCAGTATATTAATTAATATGATAAATATCCCATTTATACTAGAAAAAAGTATTAGTTAATGTCTAAAGAACTCAATACCGAGTGTCCTACGTAGTATTAATAATGTCACTGGAAAGAATGTAATTTTAAGTAAAAAAACAAACAAAAGTATACAATAAAATATTTATATATCTTTATTTTTAAAAAAATTTTAAGTTCTTCAAAACGTTTGTAAGCAAATTTGCTTACGCTATATAAAAATATCGAAGTTTCTTTAATTTAGCAATAAACAAATGTTATGAATTCATAAATGTAACTATTAATACTATTAAAGTGCATTATCAGTTATTATACTTCAACATATGGCTCCATTAAACGTTAGTGAATCATTCTATTAACTAAGACAAAATATGTGTTTTATTTTGCATTTTAATATCGTGTGACATTGACAAATATTACACTATTAACTAAGGCACTACTTAATAATCTATTAATTAATAACATTTATTAATTGGTAAATTAGTTAAAAAATTGAAATTGTCATCTCTATTGCTGTATACCAATTTTCGTACAAATATTTTGTAAGATGTTCAAACTCAGTTTTCTCAAAAACGAAATTGTATATCAAATAATCCTGTTCTATATTTTTTACTTGTATTCTTTACATAACATTATCCTCTTTTTAATATCCATCATATTGTTTATTATTTTCGTATACAAAATTTAATAATAGGATAAATATTAATAAAAGGGAATCTAGTCCCAACGACCTTGACTTTGATATACATATGTATATCGCCGAAGTCGTTGTCCTCACAAGGGATATCACCAAATTGATACACGTCGATTTTAATGAAATTTTTATACGTTATAGACCTCGAAAAAATATTTGACACGTATTTTTAACCGACTTCGAAAAAGGAGGAGGCTACTCAATTCGATTAGTATATTTTTTTTTTTCCTATGTATGTTCACCGATTACGCCTAGCTGGGTGGACCGATCGGAACGAAACCTTTTACATCTGGTAGGTGCTAACTCCCCATTGGTACCTTTATCAAAACATTTTTCATTTTTTAATTGCAAAGTGTTGTTATTGCAAAAAAACCGGCAACTTTCGAAATAAACTTTTCTCGATTTTGGTGCGCGTTTAATATCTTATCACGTACATGATTCTGAACAATTTTGTTCATATACAAAGTTCGCGGAAAGCTTTTGTTTTCGAGATATTAGCGAAAAATTGTTATTAACTTTTGAAATCAAATTCGAACGATTTTAATGTCCTTCGAATATGTTGTTAGGGGTGTGGTTCTGGACAACTTTTTCCTCTTGCATAATTGGCGGTAAGCTCTAGTTTTCGTGATATTAGCGAAAAACTATTGTTATTAATGTTAGTGGAACGCCTCGTGCTATGCACGAGAAAGACAAGAAAGGGCAATTGCAATGCACTATACCAAAACACTAAGCTTTGCCGCTTTGACACGCGATTTATGCAGCAAGATGAGTTCACGTTGACGTTGGTGTACTATTCCCATTGCTTGGTACAGTCTCCGAAATTTTTTTATATTTAGAGTACGGCGTCGTTATAATAGAGCAAACAAATTAGTAGTACGGCACTGTGCATGTATGTTGCTGCATGCCAGGTGTTTAGACAGTCAATTTTATATACATATATGATATATTTTGATACGAATAAGTATTTCACTGTATAAATGGTACGTACGTTCGTCAAAGCTCCGAGTCCGTCTGGCTCATATGTTTCATTAACGTAAGGATCATTGGGATATACATTCGTGCCATTGGTAGGTGTTCTATTTCCATGTCTAAATATCGTTTGTACTTGTTTAAGTTCTCCGATGGAAGGTTGAAGATAAAACAGGCAAATAATGATATTCAGTATCCACATTTTCAGATTTCTGAAATCAAATCAGTTATATACTTAATAAGCATAAGAAGAATTTCATAACTTTAATTAAATACAACCTGATTTATTTACATTGAGATTTGTGCAGTGAAGCACGTTAAAAATGTATTTCTAAGGCTGCTCATAATTTTTTATTTAAATCTTCATAATATGTTCTTTGTATAAGGATGGGGATACGTGTGTAATTACAAATAAAACGTGTATTAAGTATTAAGAAATTTCAAATTGATAAGAGATGAAGGAAGCAAACTTTATCCGTTTCCCTTGTTTTTCGTGCACGAAACTTTATAAATCCAATATTTCAAATATTAACGTAATAATCTTATAGTAATGTTATACAATTGTTATAATTGTTATTATATAATATTATAACAACGTTGTAATAAAATGTTATGGTAACAATTATATATGTATAATTATACAATTTAATGACATTATGACAGAAAACGCAATACTATACTATATGTATAATATATACAATATATACAAACCTAAGAATAAATATGTATAATTGTTATAACGACTTTTTATTATAATTTTTATTTCGTTTGAAAATCACGGCAATGTTTTTGAAAACCATACAATTTGATTAATGTTATTATTATAAAATTTGTTTAATTTGGTTGTTAACACGTGCATCACCAATATTATCCGATCCATATTTATGTGATGTATACAGGGTGTTCGGCTACTGGTGGGCATAATTTCAGGGGGTGGTAGCTGGGGTGATTCTGAACAACTTTTTCCTTTACCAAAATGCTGGTTAAAGCTTAGTTTTTGAATTATTAATGAAAAACACTGACCAATCAGAGCGCGAGAATAGCGCGCGCTCAGATGCGAGAGCGACGGATGCAAGCGTGACGGTTGACCCTGGTCGTGAACAAACAAAT